TTGTACATTCTTGTGAGCTCAGAAGCAAAAACTTTCATCATCTTTCAGATTTTTTCCGAGAAAATTAGAAAGTAAACAAGAGCTAAACAAGTTTGAAAGATTTCATTTGCTTACTGGTACAGTTTTGTTTTGTAAGATGAAACAGCTTCTGTAATACAGTTTATGATTTTGTAATGTTGGGGCTTAATCTGATATTTCCATTAAAACATGGGGCTTTTTCCTAAAAAGAGTTTCTTTTTTTTTTTGGGTATATTTGACTATCGATTTAACGTTTTTTACATACTAATCTTGTTGAGAGTAGTCTCTTTGAGACAGTTTCTCAGTGAAAACATAATGTCAGAGATTTTAAATTTGTCACAATCTCTGAGATCTTTAAACCCAAAGATCTCAGCTTTGGTTCCTGTTCGTCAAATCTCGAGCTCTCTCTCTCCAAAGTTGAAATTTTTATGTTTTCCCGAGAAGATCAGTTTGGTAGCAGAGAGAATCCGAGCACTCGATGCCCTGAAGCAAGACGGTTTCTTGCAAGAGCTCGATGATTCGCCGGTCTCGGTCGAGCTCGGATCGATCTGTAACGAGAGCCACTTCGATCAGGTGATGGATGAAGCTCAGAAGCATGGTGAATCCGTTGTGATTGTCTGGTGAGTTTCTAGGTCAAATCTGTAATTGAATTGGTTTCTCGATCTTTAGGCACTCAGATTCTTCCCAAAGTTTAGATTTTTTTTCATTGTCTTGGTCATGAATTTGTGTAACAATTTCTCTTTTGATTGCTTGATTCTGATACACCATAACATTCCAATTTCGTTCTCTTTAGAAATCTCTCGTCTTTTTGCTCTGATCTTTATGCTTTGTATTTGTGTGTGTTTCTGGTTGGTGAAGATTAGCTACATGGATTTTGTAGGATGGCAGCTTGGTGCAGGAAATGTATCTACTTAAAACCGAAACTCGAAAAGCTCGCCGCTGAATTCTATCCAAGGTTTATTGAGTTACTGTCTGTTCTTGTTTTTCATTGAATGTTCAAGGCAATGCTTGTCACTGTTGTCATTCAATTTATAACTTATTTTCTGACTGAAAATGTTTCTTCCAGACTGCGGTTTTATCATGTCGATGTCAACTCCGTGCCATATAAACTTGTTTCTCGTGCAGGCGTTACGGTAAGCCTATCGTACGACTCTTCCTAATTTGGTAACATCTCAGCTCATCTAACAACTACTTAATCTATATGTTGATACTTTGGGGATTGCAGAAAATGCCAACAATACAGGTAAATTTGATATGTTCCCATATCGTGATGAAGAAACTGAATAATACAGGTAAATTACTGATTCTTTGTCTTCTACCTTCTGCAGCTATGGAGGGATGGTCAGAAACAAGGTCAAGTTATCGGCGGCCACAAAGCGCATTTTGTGATTAACGAAGTCCGGGAAATGATAGAGAACGATTCGATCAGTTGAAATTAACAGTCCTCAAGACTATCTTCTC